ATGGATGAGACCTCTTGGCAGAAAGGTGCTTTATTTCATGTCAAAATGTTCGTCAAATATGAGATCGGAGCAGGATCTGTTTCCTCGGGCGTCCGCATGTCGTGGAAAGCTATTTCTTGCCTCGCACCTCTGACAAGAAAGGTATCCTAAACTAGTGCTTTGGGTTCTGATTTTTTTTTAATGTCACAGTGAGTTCAATTAAACTTGTATAGGCTGTAAAAGAAAACTCATAGGATGTTATATGGAAAGAACTAAAAAATACAGAATCTGGTTCCAAGCAGCAAGTGAATTAAAGAGGAAAGAAAATATGAACAGGGACACTTCCTATGCTAAGCCATTGGCAATAAGAGTTAACTTACCCAGGAGCAACTTGTAACGCCAAATCTGACGTGTTCACCTCTCCCTCCTGGATCAGGAGTTAGGATCAAATTTCGTTTTACCCAAGCCCCGCTGACTAAGAGAGACAGGTGGCTCACAGGGTACTCGTTGATTCCGCTAGCTGAGCAACTGGAGCTGACGGAGTAGGTCTATTCTACTTTTACCCTGTAAGAGCTTGCTTTGAGATCTCATTTTTGAAGTTGATATCTTGTCTTCTGAGTGATTTTTTCGTTTTGATCAGCAAGAACCACGGGGAAGTTTTGCAGTTTGATCCGCGAGAAACAGACTGTAAACACTTGAGGTGAGCAGATAAGCATACTTGAACTTAATTACGCTGTACTTTCCTTTCTATTCAATTTGTCATTGTCGTTAGCGACAATTTGATGTTTCTCAGTGGAATAGATTTTCGCCTGTCAGGAATGCCTGCAGTGTATTTTAATGTACTTGTTCTGACTTCTTAGTTGTTGTCGTTTATGTCATTCGGCTTCCGCTTGTGATAATCACATGATCGATAGATTGTTGCACGCAAAACTGTTTGAGGTTTACACATACCCTAACTGAGAATAAATTAGTTTCTGTTAACTTCTCCGGTTGGCAATATTTAATTTCATGAACGCACACGCTAATAATGGTGGATGTCGTGCTGAATTTACAAGTTTTAATTATTTAAATTTCCGAAAGTACCAGAAACCTCTCTGCATATATGATGGTTTAGGGGCAATACAAACTATTTAACAAACACTCTACATTACGACTATACCTGAAAGCTGACAGATTGAATAAGATTACATAATCTGATTATGTAATAGTATCAAGCTATTATAAATAGAAGAAAAGCAGGGAAAAACATCGTAATCCAAAGTTTTGTGTGGGTTACATAAGAGGGTAGCANTTGAGTGCTGTTAATCGTATCACTGCAAGAATAGATCCACACACATACCGCGCTTTGCGGAACTTTCCCACCGATCGACACTAACACAAACTCATGTGTTTGCTCTTGACTCAAACTGGTGCCATAAAATACGTTACGATTGGTTAAGAACCTTAAACAAGAGATGTTTTCCTTAAGCAATCCCTTAACTGATAAACGCTTCGTTACAGGCAGGCCGTGAACCCCTTAAAAAAAGCAAGAGGATTAGTTTTAACGGCGATTCAGTAATTTAGACATGTCGTGGTTTTTTCTTATTTATAATCAAATTTATTTTTCCGTTTCAACAGTGTTAAATGTCAGCAACGCTTAGTTCCAATACCCCCCTTCCCCCTGAGGTCAAGCATGCACCTTTAATTTCTTCAAACCCTCTTATTTACCCTGTTTGCAGACCAAGTTCCTTATCTATTAATCACTGTCATATTGGCAACCCATTTTGAAAAGTTACTCATAAATTTTGCATTATATTTCAGTGTGCTTTCTGTACATAATCTTGCATCAAGATATTTCAATCTCTAAGGGAATGAGAGATTACACTAGCAATTCTGACAATTTTAATTTATCACTTTTTCAATACGCCATCTAAACAAACTGTTCGTAAACAGTAGTGAAATTTCATGCCCCTATATCTAGCCATAAAAGGAAGTCTGGGAACAGGCAACAGCAACAGTGACACTGCCAGGCTGGTGAATTTTACAAGCTAACGAACTCATGTCTAACAATGATGAGTGATGATGAAGCATGGTGCAGTGAAACTGAAGAATCAGACTGTGATTGACATTGTTAGTGTTAGTGTCGTGAGTGTGATGCTAGTGTCTGTGAACTTGGACGAGATCACCAAAGAAAGGTTCCGTACTAGAAGTTGACAGAGTGCAACAAGTTTGTGCTCAAAAACTGAAGAAGCTGGCTCAGACCTGTCTTAAGGCCAGCTTCATCACTACTTGTCAATAGTTCCTGACTTGTGTGTGTGGGAAGACTCTTTGTAATGACCTATATGGGGAGGCTCAGCTCAAGATGTGTACCTTTTTCAGGCTTCAGGTATACATGAAATCATAAAATGATAGGGATTTCACAAGTCGAGGTGTATGAAAGGGTAGGGAAATCTGTTATTTGGGGATTTCCATTCTTCTGGTTCTAAAATGTTGTTGAAAAGCTCTCACTTACTCTCCTCAGCCAGAATGAAGAGATTCCGTAATGTCGTTTATTAACGTCTTTCCAAGAGAATAGAAAAGGGATGCAGTATTCTTAAATAGGTTTGTAAAGGGGTACATGTACCCTTTTGCAATGCAAGTCTACAAAAGAGGTGCCTTTTCTATCAAAATGGTACAAAAGTATACAAAAGGGTAAGGGGTAATGGACCTTGAGATGGAGCCTCCCCGTTTAAAACTTTGTAGAATACCCCTCCCCGCTCCTTCTGTAACAAAGATGTTCAAATTAGTGTTTTGTGGAAAAAGGCAATTATTAAAAAACAAAACAGTGCCAAGGAATTGTGTGAGTGTTAATGCAAGTTTCCATTAATTTGTATTTTGAATTAAAATGGGTATAACATTATCCTAAAGTATAAATAACCATACTTGGCAGCTTCACAGAGAGACCCAAACTGATAATGAAAACATACGTTTTAACACTTAAAATTTTATTTTTGCCCCTTCCCTTGTACCTTAAGTTTTTTTTTAACTTAAATGTAGGTCAACATAATTTGTTTTCACAATTTACCACAAAAGAAAACACCTCAGAAAGGAGAATTATAGTTGTGGCGTCTGAGCTACATTTTTAAATGGAAACATTTCCCATAAAAAATGTCCAAATTATATTCTTACCAGTACAACAACATACCAAATATATTTTGCAGAGAGGATTACTTAATTAATAAAATTGATGTTATTTTCTATTTAATTTTTGTAAACCTGATCTTACAGAGTGCAACCTTTGGTTTAACTGGTTCACTTTCACTGTTAAGGAATAATTAAATAAATCACACCAGAGTGGCTTTGTATCTTTATATCCACATTATCAGTAGAGAAATCACACTTGTACAGGTCCACTGATACTCTTAAGTGTATGTTAAACATGGGAAAAGCAGGTTGCATCATCTAAATCATAGTATTGTATGCCTGTGCGGTGTGTATATGCCAGGAGGTAACCACCTAAGAAAAGACAGACATAAATTATGACATTGTTTCAATGACTCACTGTAAGTGGGTATTTGCTCATTTACCACCTTAATGAACAAGATATATTAATGTCTAATTTTTACCTCCGCTTTAAAATTTTCAAACCTACAGTTTGTTTTCGCTTTCAGAGAGGTTCTTAAAATTCACAAGCACACCACCCACTCCCCTCAGCCCCTATTCCTACTCTCCCATAGCCAGGATCCCATTTCAACCCCCCAACATTTCCATGATCACATGAAATCGCTAATTTTTTTTTTAATTTTGTTCCGTTAGATTCATCTCCATTCAGCCATGAAAGTAATGGTTGCAGATTTCTGTGAATTTGTTGGTCTAATTTATTAGTGCTCTCAGATTCCCACTTCCCTTTTGACAGAATTAAATTAATCAGTTAAAAAAATAAACTACAGTATACTGGAATACACTAGTATACCGTACGTACGTAGTTTAATCAAATTAAAGCAGAGGCAAACATTGAACCACAAAATTAATTTTTGGTATGAACGACATTAAGGTATAACTTACATAATTAATATCACATCTTTTCTATTGTAATTTAAGACAGTGCAGCTACTAATAGATTCACCGCAAAAACCTAAAAACACCGGTTTAGAAACACAGGTTAGTGAGGATATTGCTAGTTTTGCTTTTGCCACCAACCAACAACCACTCTGCTTTTAAAATAAATACATGGAAGATAATGACAAAAGCAATAACAAAACCAACCGTTGTCAATTCAATAAACACACCTAATTCCCCTCCAAAATTCTCTTCAACACCTTACAGTACATGTAAATGTCAGCAACATAAATTCAACTCAATGATAATTTTGGCATGCTACTAACATCAAATTTTTACCCCTTGATTCAGAATTTTCAGGAGTATCACATAGAATTCCACAATAGATTACAAGTGCTGTTACCTTTGCCAATATCTGCATTAGTTCCGGAGATATTTAGGTTTAAAATGTGTAGAATATATGTAAATGAGAGGACTGGTGATTTCATGCACCCAACCCAATATTACATCAAGTATGGACCATGTATACAGCAGAGATCATTAAAACTTGGTAGCCTTAAAGTTCTACATGCAACACACTAATATGGCTATAAAAATTATGTTCCCAGTTGGCAACTCAATCTTTTCCAGTCCTCTCTAACCCAATTTCAATAATTCAGAGATTTTCAGCTCGAAAAATATTTAATAATCAAGGCCATGACCTTACTATTTAATAGGCTTGCTGGATCATGCAGATGAAGCACCATTGGCAAACATCAAAATGGAACTCCAAAGGTGGCCCGAAAAGACTAGAATATCAGGGAGGGTCTGAAACACAGTCTGTTGCCATGGTAACAAAACTGTTAAGCTCATATTATGAAGCACATCTGCAAATTGCATCATAATAGCACTGTCCCCAGGAGCCCATGGTCCAGTAATGTACTTGGACAATAAATTTCTTAACTTTCCTAGGGGACTGGATGATCTAAATGGTATGTGGAAGACTCCCAGAATATTTGCAAGAATGTATGCTATCTCTTTACAGGTATTCATACACTACTAACATGACTGACTTTGGAAAATATATATATATTTTCAACTTATGATATTTTGAATAGTCCCCTCTCCCATCTAACATGCTGACCTTCTTTAATTTGGTACATGAAATTGATAACAAGGATGCTACACCTTGGCAAATCGTGGGCCAGGATATGTTGCACAGTCTTCACATCAGATAATGGGTGTGTGCATATTATTTATATATTTATTAAACAGAGATCTCCCCATCCCATCTCTATGGAAATTCCAATTTTGATTCATACTTTTCTTTAAAACGTTTGGCTTTTGAGACCCTCCTCATCCTTGGAATTTCCAATAATCTCCTTGGGGTGGGTAGGGATATTTTCTAGAACCACACAATTAAAAAAATAAACAAACTTTAAGATAAACTGTTAAAGTATAAGTCGGTGGGACATATATACATTGATTAACTTATGAAGACATGATTGATCATTGCAACTATACACAACTTATGCAAAGGTGAAATTATAGCCTGAAAAAAAAAAAATAGGTGTGAACTGGATTCTAACCCATGACCTCTCTGATACCAAACATACCAGACTACAACATACCAAACTACTAATTTGTTATGACCAGAAGCATATCACGTGACACAGCTAAAGGAGAGTTGTTAAGATATCAACTTTTTTGTTCTTTCTAAAAGATCAATTTGAGTCTTCTAAATTAAGTAGGGCACTGCACTGTGTGCTCTTTCTACACACTCTTCCAGGCAGGATAGTAATACATATACATGTATTTTTTGTTTTTTGGAATATGCTGTTACTGAATGGTCGTACAAGAGGCACTAGTTGCTGCTGAGTAGTCTTAAAATATGTGAACTAAATGTGACAAAATGTATATTAAATCTGCACCAGCTCAGTATAATTTAATACAAAATAATTTTACTCAGCCGCAAAAAAATAATTGTTAGCAGCTGATATTACATGTACTTTGTGAAGGCTTCTGGAGGGGTTATACTTTTATAAAGTACCTGACAGCAAGTACTGTTTTGATTTACTAAAGCAAGACTGGAGTAGGAATAAAAAATATCATTGCCTTGATGATATAATACAGATAAAATCTCAAAATAATCAACAGTTACATGTATGCATGGGACTCTCAAAATGATGCCTGATGCTCACTGTAAATTGCATAAATTACTCCTATGATGTGCCAGAATTCCGTTAATCTGGTCACCAACAGGCCACAAAAATCTGACTGTACAATTAATAAATAAGAAAATGACTAGCCTGCGTGGCAGGCCGTAGAAGGAGAAGGAAAGGGTCAAAAGGAGCATGGGAGTTTTGGGAGGGGAGGAGGAGGGAACGTCCCCTTCCTCCACGCTCACACGATTTGCGTGCTCATTTTTTCCCCTTTCCCTCCCCTTCAACGCCTGCCACGCAAGCTAGAAAATGACCAACTGAGCTTTTGTTTGAGCCAGAATAGAGTGGCCATGATAACGAGGTAGCTGTGTTAACGGGGGTGGCCTTAAGGTGAGGTATGTTCCACAGTAGTGATAAAGATGATACTCTCAAACACCTGTACCCATAAAGATTTTGGAAAGTATATTTTGCATAATCATTTGGAAGAGGAAGAGGCAAAATGGAAATAAAATAGAATGGCTCTTGTGTACCAGAGACAACTCTTCCCCCGAGTTACCCTGGCGGAACTAACTTCACTTATTTCTTTGAAAAATTCAACCAATCGTTTTTACGAGGATCATGAACCAGACTAATGGAGGTGAGACAATTCAGGTGGGCAAGTTGACTCGCCTTGGCAGGTAAAGTAACCCAGGGGGGTACTCCCTTATATGGGCTATATAGGTATATGCGGCCCCAAAGGGTATGGTTTTTCAGCTGTTTTGGTCATAAATAAGGTATCGATTTTAGCTGATTTTGGCCATTTTGGTCATAAATAGGGTATGGTTTTTGCACTCTAGCCTTGATATAGGTATGTTTCTAAAAAGAAGCCACTTTTTCGTCATTATCGAAAAGAAAATCAACAAAAGCCCTTCACAAATTATCTTTACGGTAATTTAACATTGGTCTGAACTAGGGAAGTTATTATAATGCAGGTCTGATACAGGGTTTTGATTTAAGGGTTTGGTCATAAATAGGGTTTCGAATTTTTGGTCAGGTCATAAATAGGGTAGGGAATATCGCAGATTTTGGTCATACATAGAGTAAGGGTTTTGGGAAGCGGGCCGCACACCCCACCCGATTTTTCTGGGAGTACCCCCCCTCCCCGGGAAAGTAACCGACAACGTTTCTTTGAGCATATATAAAAACCCCTGGGCTCGTCTAACTGGAACAACTCTCAGCATGGCGAGTGTCATGTAATGCCTAGATTTAAGATTTAAAGCAGCAATTTGTATCAAAGAAGAGAAAATCAACTCGGCAAAACCCACTGTGATCAAATGACTGAGTGAAACTTAAACAAAGAGGGATATTTGTACTTTTGATTATTCAGTAAGAGTTATGAATGATCAAGCAGGGTCAACTTTTACTCGGCCTACAGGGGCTACATTTTCACATACAAACGCTTGATAAAGTTGCCTCTGGGGGGAGGGTTATCTCGGGTACCCGAGACCATATAAATGGGACCCATGATGCCTCAATGAATAACCCCACGATTTTTAAAGGGAAGGTCCTTAAACAGGCCCTTAACTTAGGGCTTCAATGGCAGATTCCTTCTGATGGCTTGGATTTGAATAATTGATTTAATTACTTTTACAGAGGACTAAAACTTAAAAATCTTCCTCGAATTTCGATCCAGCGAGACACAAGTTTCCATGCCGTGAATCAAGTTTTTACTGGGCGTTTTAAAAGCACTCACCAAAGAGAAAGAGACTGATGACCCCAAAGTACCAATATATATGTAATGTATATTACGGAAAACAACAACCTTCAACGAGAGATGTAGGAATGTGGGATACTGACCTTCAGCATGCGATCGAGCTTGTCTCCACTACCAATACACGTGTGCCAAGAGCAACAAAAGCTCTGGTGACAGCGACTTTCGGGGCTAAACGGCTTCTGTTAATTATGTTCCCGTAGTACACAGTGCAAACTACGGCCAGCAATACTTCATCCAGGTGGTTGTTAACATTATAGGCTGTTGCACTTATTGTTATCACCAAATCACGAACAACAAGAACCAAAAGTCGGAACAACAACAGTTTTGCAAACGTGGAAAATTCGCCATACGATGACAGAAGGCTCTCCGTTATTTTGCTTCAAAACAATAATAAACTTTTCTCTTTTCCCGAACATTTTCCTTAAAAAGTCAAGGTATTGTGTTTGCAACATCTTTCCATCCTCAATATAGAATGAAACGAAACTGATGGTTTACAAATTGAGGGAAATCGTGCCTAAGGGCTGGTTCACACTTTGACATAAGCATAAGCATAAGCATAAACATAAGCGTAAGAAAAGTATGTGTGAACCGGGGTTACATAAGCAGAAGCATAAACATAAGCATAAGCACAGAGAATGGAACTTTTTCCATTTTCTTATGCTTATGCTTATGCTTACGTTGTGAATACTTGAGTGTGAACCGGGCATACATAAGCATAAGCGTAAGCATAAAGAGTTTTCTTGTCAACGGAATACACAAAAATAAAATCCAGGC